CAGCCAGTGTTGTGAGTGACTGGGAGGTTCTCAGAGTGTTTAGGATATGGATAATATGATGTCCTCAGGATGAATGAGATAAGCCAGGCTCAGAAAGACAAATAGCACATGTTTTCTCTCCTATGTGGATTCTAGACATAAATGATGGTGATGATGATGATGATGATGATGATGATATGACATAAATGTAAAAGGAGGACTATGTGGAACTGGTGGGAGGAGGAAAGGAAAGTGGAGGGTAATGGGAGGTGAATATGACTAACACAAAAATAGCATGATAAAACCCACTAAAAACTAGAAAATAGAAGAGGAGTGGAGACACAAAAAGGGGAAATACCAGAAAGGTTGATTTTGATCAAAATACATGTGCATATAAGGAAATAGCACAATGAATCCCCTTTGTAAAACTAATATATGATAATAAGATAAAAATATCATTTTTCTCAGGCCCAGAGTTCAAGCCCCATAACCAACAAAAAAATAAAAAAATAAACAAAAATAAACAAAAATATCATTTTTATCCAAGTTGAAAGATAGAGCGGTGAATTTGGAATGAAGTGAGTCATTACCAATAAGAGAAAAATAAGTCCGGGTGCAAGAGGCTCCCACCTGTAAGCCTAGATACTCAGGAGGCTGAGATCTGAGGATTGCGGTTCAAAGCCAGCCCAGGCAGGAAAGTTTGTGAGACTCTTTTTTTTTTTTTTATTGTGAAAATACTGTACAGAGGGGTAACAATTACATGGGCAAGATAATGAGTACATTTCTTATCAAGCATTGTAGCCTCCTCCTTTGTTTCCCCTTCCCATCCTCCACCTGCCCTTGTGAGACTCTTATCTCCAATAAACCACAGAAAACCGGAAGTGGTGCTGTGGCTCCAGTGGTAGAGCACTTGCCTTGAGCTGAAGAGCTGAGGGACAGCACCCAGGCACAGAGCTCAAGCCCCACGACTGACAAAAAAAAAACAAAAACAAAGAAAAGAAAAAGAAAAATAGGTATTCCAAACATCAAATGCTTTACATAAAAGCTTATTCTCCAAAATTCTCCAATGTATTCTCCAACATTGTCTATGGTTCTGATAGCTTGTTCTCAGGATTATTACAATACAGCTTATTTCATAAATGCTTACACAGTGTTATTCTTCTTTATATTTTACTACATATAAACATGTGAATACTCTAGATAGTGTTCCATAATACCTAAAATAGAAAACAGTGTGGTACTTACCATTGAACTATGTAAACACTCATTTAAAAAAGTTCTACTCAGGCAGGGAATGTGGCTTAGTGGTAGAGTGCTTGCCTAGCAAGTATGAAGTCCTGGGTTTGATTCCTCAGTACCACATAAACAGAAAAGGCCAGAAGTGGCGTTGTGGCTCAAGTGGTAGAGTGCCAGCCTCAAGTGCAAAAGCTAAGAGGTAGTGTTCAGGCCCTGAGTTCAAGCTTCAGGACTGGTACACAAAAAAGTACCAGACACTACAAGATAAAGAGAAGGAGAGGGAGAGAGAGAGAGAAAAAGAGGAGAGAGAGAGATAGATAGAGAAAGAGAAAGAGTGGGGAGGAGAGAAAGGAGAAGAGAGAAGAGAAAGACAACAGATCTCTGGACTTAAAATGTCAGTTAAAAAAGTCACAAGCTGTGCACCAGTGGCTTATCCCTGTAACCCTAACTCCTCAGAACAGGAAAATCTGAGGACTGTGATTCAAAGCCAGCCCTGGCAGGAAAGTTTGTGAGGCTCTTATCTTCAATTAACATCCAGAAGACCAGATGTAGTGCTATGGCTAAAGTGGTAGAGCACTTGTAGAACTAGCCTTGAACACAAAGAGGCTCAGGGACAGGGCCCAGGCCCTGAGTTCAAGCCCCATAACTGACTAAAGAAAGAAGGAAAGAGGGAAGAAACTAAAATAGGAAGAAAGAAAAAGAAACAATAGCAGAATGTGGTAGCTCTCTTTCTATTAGCTCACTCCTAGCCACTGAGGAGTCTGAGATATGGAGGATCTCCATTTCAGGCAAGCTGGGACAAAAGTTCTGGAAACTCCCATTTCAACAGAAAAAGCTGGGTATGGTTGCATACACTTGTCATCTCACTTACTCCAGGTAAAATAAATAGGAGAGTTGTGGTCCAGATCAGTCTGGACCCTATCTCAAAAATAACCAGAGCATGCCTGGACACTCATGCTTGGTTTGTAATCCTAGCTACTCAGAAAGCTGAGGTCTGAGGTCTGCGTATAGCCACCTAGGGCAGGAAAAGTCCACGAGACTCTTTATTTTTATGTTTATTTTTTGGTCGGTTGTGGGGTTTGAACTCTGGGCTTGGGCGCTGTCTCTGCTCTCTTCAGCTCAAGGCGAGCACTCTACCACTTGAGCCACAGTGCCTCTTCTGGTTTTCTAGAGGTTTATTGGAGATAAGAGTCTCACAGACTTTCCTGCCCAGGCTGGATTTGAACTGTGATCCTCAGATCTCAGCCTCCTGAGTAGCTAGGATTACAGGCGTGAGCCACTGGCGCCTGGCTGAGACTCTTTTTTTAAATATGTTTTTTATTGTAGAAATATTGTACAGAGGGATTATAGTTAAATGAGTAAGGTAATGTGTACACTTCCTATCGAGCATTGTTACCTCCTCCTCTGTTTTTGCCCATCCCTTCCCTCCCTCCCTTCCCAACTCCTCCCTCTCCCCTCCCAAGTTGTAAAGTTTGTTTTCAACATAGTGTCTGGGGTCAACCTGTATTCTTATTTCAGCATTTTGTTATTTCTCTTCCCCTCCCCAAATTAGAAAAATGTCTATACAAGATGGAGGGCACCAACATCAAATACAGTGAATACAGGGGTTATACCGGTCCAGGAGATTATCTCCAACTAACCACCAAAAAGCCTGAAGTAGAGCTGTGGCTAAAGTGGTAGTGTGCTAGCCTCGGGTACAAGCCTTGGAACAGTGCACAAGCCTTGAGTTCAAGATTCAGGCGTGTGTGTGTGTGTGTGTGCCACAAAGCTGACAAAGTCTTGAGAGTTTTATTCTAATTTGAGGAACAGTAGGCTTTAATGTACATTCTTTCATTTCACTCTTAGGCAGGGAAGGAAGCTATCATGGCTGCAGTTGAGACACACATGACAAAGGGAAGAGAATGGAAGTGACTGTCATCTTTTTTTTTTTTTTTGGGTCCGGTCGTGGGGCCTGAACTCTGGGCCTGGGCACTGTCCCTCAGCTCTTCAGCTCAAGGCTAGTGCTCTACCACTTGAGCCACAGCACCACTTCCGGCTTTTTTCTTTTTGCTTATGTGGTGCTGGGGAATCGAACCCAGGGCCTCAGGCATGCAAGGCAAGCGCTCTACCACTGAGCCACCTTCCCAGCCCCGTGACTGTCATCTTGGTGGAGGTATAGTCTCCTGGGCTCCACATTCATGAGCACTGCCACCACACTTCCTCCGAATGCTGGTGAGAACATTAACTTCTTCTCTAAAGACTGCCCAGTAACCCTACATCTTCCAGTTATACACGTTCATAGTCTTGCCTCTTTTATCACTTTCAGTTCTTCTCTGCTTTCTCCTTGACATAGGCAAAATGCCTTGCTTCTGAAATTTCAATTCCCTCCTGGAAAGCAGAATTAATTCCCTTTATCTGTTCTTTTGGTAGAGTCTTATTCACCTTCTCCAATAATTTTATGCTATATTTTGATTGATTGATTGACTGATTTCAGGAAATGGGGCCTCATACTCATTTGGTTTGTTTCCTCACAGGTGGTACTCTACCTCCTGAGCCATTCCTCCAGACTGACATTTTTGCTAGCTAATAGGAGATGCAACTTTTCAGATTTTTCTGCCCTGGCTGGTTTCACACCACAAACCTTCAGATCTCTGCCTCTTGAATGACAAGGATTATAGGCATGAGTCATTAGTATTGAGCGATCTCACCTTATCTTTCTAAATTCATCCCATAAATTTAGTTTGCACTCTACTCCATATTCCTTTTTTGAGACAATTATTTATTTATTAGGCAGGGTAAAGTTGTTTAAGGAGAGGAAACAGATCTCAAATATGTGTTTAGCTTGGTGTTGCAGGCATTGGCGCTCACAACAAACAACACTACTCAATACATCATGGAAACAGGCCACCTACAACCAGGAAGATGCTGGCATGCCATTCAAAAATTAGCCATAGGGCTGGGAAGGTGACTCAGTGGTAGAGCACTTGCCTTGCATGCTCAAGGCCCTGGGTTCGATTCCTCAGCACCACATAAGAAAAAAGCCAGAAGTGGCGCTGTGGCTCAAGTGGTAGAGCGCTAGCCTTGAGCTGAAGAGCTGAGGGACAACGCCCAGGCCCAGAGTTCAGGCCCCACGACCAGACCCCCCCCCCAAAAAAAAAAAAGCCATAATGCTTAGGAAACAATTATAGGGAGCTGCAGAGCATACTAGTGTCCAGTTCACTACTTGCATTTTGTGCAGCTGAGTCGTTAACTTATAGTAGTATTTGCCTGGCTCACTGGTTATTAAGAAATGTGTCTTCCTGTATTCTAGAAAACTTTGATTGGTACATACTTCTGAATGTCACTGAAATGACAGTTTATTGCAGACATAACTAGCTCACATCACTACATATTTCAACTATCATGGGTAATAATTGATAATCTCATAGTACTATGAGTAAAATTCTATATTTAATACATTTAGCAGTGGTACAATGTACCAAAGTCACATTTTGTCCTATGGTACATACTTGGAAAAGATTCACTGAATTTTAAAATAATTGGGAGAGCTCACCTGGCCCACTGTACACAAACTGTGAGCAAAGGTAGATATATCTGAAAGTTGCTGTTAAGTATTTGCCAAATTATTTGGCCTCATTTTAGCAGATTTTCCTGACTGAGCTTGCAGAGATATATTTCAATATCCATTCTAGAGATTAGCCAAATTTTGTAAGGAGTAATATATCATGAATGCTTGCCTAGAAGGAAAAAACTATTCAGCATGAAATTGACTGATAAATCTCAATCCTTAAATCCACTGGTCTTTTCTTTTGGGCTAGGGATAAACCCAAGGCCCTCAACATGCTCGGAAAGTGCTCTACCAGTGAATTATACCCCTGGCTTCTCAACTACTTCCTTTCACAGCAGTAAGTTCTTTTTTTTTTTGACAGTTATGGGGCCTGAACTCTGGGCACTGTCCCTCAGCTCTTCAGCTCAAGGCTAGTGCTCTACCACTGAGCCACAGCACCACTTCTGGCTTTTTTCTGCTTATGTAGTTCTGAGGAATCGAACTCAGGGCCTCATGCTTGCGAGGCAAGCACTCTACCACTGAGCCAACTTCCTAGCCCACACAGCAGTAAGTTCTTATGATGAGAATTTATCACTCCACAAAGAAAATGCTATTTAAGAAGCCAGTCACAAAAGACTGGTAATGTCTGAATTTATTATATTAAAGGCCTGAAAATAGATGGATGATTGCCTAGGGCTGGGAGTGGGCGGGCATCAAGAAGAAATAAGAGGTGACTGCTACAAAGTACACATTGTTTTGGGGATTAAGAAAATATCCTAAATTTGATAGATATGAACACCCTTTACATGGGTAGTAATTACAAGGTATATAAATTATTTCTCAGCAGCAATGTTATGAAAATATCTTAGGAAAAGAAGACAGCCCCAAAAGAGAAGAAAATAGGGGGATCTCCCAAATCAAATTACACGAAAGGAAACAGTTGACAAGTTTAATACAATCAGCTTGTTTCTCTCATATTACTTTGACTTTATTATCACTTTAACCCCTGGCTTCACATTTTTAACACATTTCTAAATTATTTCAGGTAACCAACAGATTCCAAACTTTGTTCTCATGAGACAGAAAAGTTGCACAGAATAAAAATCATTGACAAAGTAATAACATCCCTTGGAGCTGTGTATTACCAAGTAGAATAGAAGAGAGGAAATTCATTTCTAATGGGACAAAATATCATCAGTTATAAGGGCACCTTGATAGTGATGCCCTGTTCCTAAAGTAAAATGTAATAAGGGTATCTTCTGACTCTTGCCTGAAGTACATTTCTTTCTTTTATTCTTTTTTTTTTTTCAGTTGAGGGGCTTGAACTCTGGGTATGGGCAGTGTCCCTGAGCTCTTCAGCTCAAAGCTACCATTCTGCCACTTGAGCCATAGTACCACTTCTGGTCTTCTGGTGGTTAATTGGAGATAAGAGTCTTACAGACTTTCTTGCCTGGGTTGGCCTTAAAGCATGATCCTCAGACTCATCCTCCTGAGTAGCTAAGATTACAGGTGTGATCTACTGACATTTCATTTTGACACTTGCATGGTATTTATTTCCTTTACACCTTTACAATTCAAGAAAAGCAATATTTTTATACTGTGTAATTCAACAAAAGCTAATATTCTCTACCAAGAAAATAATAAGCTTCCTGTGGGTTTTTTAAAGCTCATAAAGAACGCCAAATTTCCTTAAAAGCAATATTTCTGTCTCTGAAAAAATTAAACTGTATTCTCATCCTTACCTTCAGCACCATAGAGTGAAGATGCAATTAAATTTCTCCAGTGATTTTAATTTTCTAAATAAATTAAATATACGAGTTCCAACTATTTAGATCTAATTTCCTTTATGCCATTAGATTACTGAAAGTTTTCCTTCATTTTCACTATTTCACTAGAATAGTATGAAATAAACTAACAGAATTTGAATAAATGAGAGTTGCCAAAGATAAGTAGTTTTTCTTATGATGACTATTCTTTTCCAAAGGCAAGATAATGAAATCATTTTTTATCTATCTTCAACTACTCCTCATTACATAACCTAAACATTTTTGCAGCTAATGGAAGAAAACACCAATTAGCTTTGCAGCAAGTTGAGCCTGTAAAACATCAAGACAGAATTTTTGACATAAAAATTGCTCAGTGCACACAAACTCTCAGAGGAACAAGACAGTTGATAGTAGAGGGTATATTGTGGTGAGTGGGGGTAAGAAGTCATGGATAAAGTAAAAACTGTCAAATATTTGCTAAAGCTAAAGCAGAGCCACTTTTTAGGGCTGCAAAGTCACTTTAGTCTCATCAGGGAGGTTTATTTGATAAGACCATTTTAATGTCTCTTGTGTTGCAAAATGCAGCAGTCACAGTGTTTCCTAAAAGATTTCTAGAAACTGTAAAGCAAAAAAAAATCTAAGCAAATAAATAATCACAAAATTACTATTTTCCACGAAAATGCTTTCAAAACAGTGTCTTTTACAATGATGTAAATTGGATTAAATGAAAAAATTCTTTATATGAAAGATCAAAGATGCATTTCACAGATAATTTATATTCCATTAATGACTGGATAACCAATTAACAAACAAGGACCATAGACTTCTTAAAACCAGATCTAAAAAAAATCAATATAAATACTGATGAGAGGAGTGTTTTATACCCCAGACTCCACTGTTCAACTTGGTCCTGTCCTGTAATTTAATTTGTAAAAATCTTTTTTTTCATATCTTTTTTTTATTGTGAGAATACCATACAGAGGAGTTACAATTACATGGGCAAGATAACGAGTACATTTCTTATCAAGCATTGTTGCTTCCTCTTTATTTCCCCTTCCCATCCCTTCCCATCCTCCCCCCACCCCTCATCAAAGTTGTAAAGTTTGTTTTTCAACATAATGACTTATACATCTCATTGTTGCAATGGGTCCACCTGTATCCCTAGTTAAACTATTTGTTTTTGCCCTTCCCCTCCACAAATTATACCAACATCATAATTTGTAAGAATTTTAATGGTAGAGTGATTTGAGTTTTTGTAACTTCGATGATGTGTTAAAGGACAATGCATCTTTGTTTGAAGAATTTGTTGTATCCAAAGCCTAGAACACTACTTGATCATGGTGATTAAATACATACAAGGATGGGTGATTCCTTAAGGTATTAAATGTCTTATTTTTTAGCTCTGAAGTAGCATCCGTGTCTTTAAACTCCCCTACAATATGAACTATACCATAAGAGGTAACTGCAAAGGCCAGAAGAATCTGAAGAACTAGATCTATTGGCAGTGATTCATCTTCCGTTTCTGTCAATCACATATAAGAATGACGCTGCACAGCGAAAAAGGCAGCGTGGGCGAGAGCAAAGAAGCCAGTGTCTTCCAGTCCCTTCCACAGAGGGAGCGCCAGGCTTGTTTAGGAACAGTAGCCCAACAACCTAGACCATATTCTTGAAGTCAGAACATCTGATATATATGTTTATACACAAATATGCATACATATGTACACATGTATGCACATAGATGCATACACATTTTACACACATACATACACATATATAAACTTATCCTGGGGGTCATCACTGGAATACGGAAAGACACAGTACATACTTTACAAATTGAAAATGCATTTTCCATTGAAATATTTTCTTTAGAATCTCACCACCTTCTTGACACTGTCTTTAAAGGCTTGCTTCACTTGCTGGTTTCTCAGCGTATAAATGAAGGGGTTCAATAAGGGGGTGACAGAGGTAATGAGCACAGCCATGGCTTTGTTGAAAGTACCTTCTTCTTTTGCAGAAGGATTAATGTACATGAACATGCAGCTGCTGTAAGAGAGGGAGATGACCACCAGGTGGGAGGAACAAGTAGAAAAGGCCTTTGTCCTTTGTTGGGCAGAAGGCACGCTCAGAATGGTCCTGATGATGTATGTGTAAGAAAGTATCACCAGCACCAGCGTGACTACTAGAGTCATCGTAGCCAATAGGAAGACTGATAGCTCTAAGGCACTTGTGTCTGAGCAGGCAAGTTCTACCAGGGGCCCATAGTCACAGAAATAGTGATTCAGAACATTGGAGGCACAGAACTCTACCTGGCTCATCAGGATGATCGGTGGTAAGATAGCTATCAATCCCCCAAGCCAAGAGCAGAACACAAGTTGTAGGCAGACTCTGCTGTTCATAATAATCAGGTAGTGCAGGGGCTTGCAGATGGCCACATAGCGATCATAAGACATGGAGGCCAGGAGGTAAAACTCTGTGGCTCCTAAAAATATAGCAAAAAAATACTGAGTGAAGCAGCCTGCAAAGCTGATGGCTTTATTTCCTGTGGTCATGCTGGTTAGAAACCTGGGAATGAAGATGGATGTGAAGGAGATTTCTAAGAAAGAGAAGTTCCGCAGGAAGAAATACATGGGGGTTTGGAGGTGAGAGTCAAGGCAGGTGAGGATTATGATAGACAGATTTCCGAGGACACTGAGCATGTAGGTGAGGAACAGAAAGATGAATATCACCACCTGGAGTTCAGGCTGACTTGTGAGGCCCAGAAGAATGAACTCAGTGACCATGGTCCTGTTTCTCATGGTTGACTTTAAGTAGATCTAGAGAGAAAAGGTTAGGAAGAATTAAAAAGAAAAACCCAAAGAGTTTCTCAGAGTAGGAGAGAAAACACTTACTTTAACCAACAGAATCAAGTCATCCATTGTTCTCCTTCCCAGTAGCCCATGGGTCAATACTTGGCTCCATGAGTGTCTGATCTCTATCTAAGTGACCTTATTCCTAAAGTCTTCTCTAGGAAGACTTTTGTGATGTTGATCTTACCCCTGGGAACTTCACAAAATACATTACAGAATAACGACGTAGCATTTTTTTCAGAAGAATATATTTTATTTTATTCGTGTGTGTGTGTGTGTGTGTGTGTGTGTGTGTGTGTGTGTGTGTGCGTGCGCGTGCGCGTGTGCTGGTCCTGGATCTTTGAACTCAGGACATGAGCACTGTCCCTGAGTTTTTTTTTTTTTCTTCTCAAATAGAGTGCTCTACCACTTGAACCCACAGCTCCATTTCTGGCTTTTGGTCATTTACTGGAGATAAGAGTCTCATGGACTTTCCTTCTCTGGCTGACTTTGAACAACCATCCTCCAATCTCAGCCTCCTGAGTAGCTAGGATTATTGGCATAAGCCACTAGTGAATGGCTAGAAGAATATATTAAAAATTTTTAAAAAGTATCCTTCGTTTTCAAAAATTTTCAATTATCTTTCTTTTTCTTTTTTCTTATTGTCAAGGTGATGTACAGAGAGGTTATAGTTAGGTAAGTAAGGTAATAAGTACATTTCTTGTCAAACTTGTTACCCCTTCCCTCATTTTTCTCCTACGTTCCTTCCACCCAACCCCCAAGATCATTTTCAACATATTGTCTTGTGAATATCGCTGTTGCATTGGTCCCCCCTTGTCCTTTGTCTCACCATTCTGTTGTTCCCCTTCCTTTCCCTTCAGTTATCTTTAAGTAGTTATTCAAAGAGGTTTCAATTCACCATGTCAGTTCATGTGTACCAGTGCATCTTGATCAATGTCACCCTTTCCATCATTCTTTTAATCCCTCCAACCCCACCTATGGAGGGAAATGCACTTTTAAACTCAACATGTTTATGAAACTCTTCATTTAAAGCATTTTCCCTTAACTTTATTGACATCTCCTTGACTTCTAGGCTCTTAGTAAAAAGACATAAAAAGATATTCACCTGACTCATTTT